TAAAGATAGCTAAGACATGGGATCATACAAACACAGTGGAATATTATGAAGTCATGAAGATGAAACCATTTGTGGCAACATGGATGAGCCTATGGAACACCGTTAAATAAAATATGCAGGCAGAGAAAGAGAAATACTGCATGATCTTGCTGCTATTGTACAAGGTGTAAAAAGTTGACCTTAAAGAAGCAGAAAGCTGAACAGTGGTTAGCAAGACTGGAAGCCCGGGACCAGAGTAGGATGGGGAGATGGTCAACAGCCGGGGGTGTACGGGACAGAAGGAAGAGCTTCCAATGTTCTGTACCACAGTAGGACAGCTATGATTCACAGCAATTGATTTTATGATTCAAAACAACTCATAGGGAAAACAAACGCTCCCGAGAAAGACACGATAGATGTTTGTTCTGCCGGACGCCAGCTACCATGATCCGATCGCTGCTCACTGATACACATACTGAAACATCTCACGGTGCCCTATAAATATGTGCAGTTATCTGCAGTCTCTACTTGCAGTTGGCACAATAGGGGTACTTCAAAGTAAAAAAAAAATTTTTTAACTTTTAATTTTTAAAAAGAAAAAAACTTAGGGCCGGGGATTTAGCTCAGCGGTTCGGTGGCCCGCCTTGCAAGCACAAGGGCCCGAGTTCAATCCCCGGTACCAAAAAGAAAAAAGAAAAAATCTTAAATCTGTAATTTTTTTCGGAACTGCCTCAGGGCCTCTATTTCATGAAAATGTTTCCAAATTATCATATTCCAAAGGGAAAAAGAAGCCAGCTTTTGAGATCTCTAAAAGAACTAAGGTGTGGTGGCACAGGCCTGTAATCCCAGCATTCGGGAGGCCGAGGCAGGAGGATCACTGCGAGTTTGACACCAGTCTGGGCTACAAAGTGAGTTCTAGCTCAGTCTCAAATACATAGTGAGAACCTGTCTCAAAAAAAAAAAATAATAATAAATAAATAAAAAGGGCTGAGGATATAGTTCGGTGGAACAGGGCTTGCCTAGCATAAGCTAGTTTCTGGGTTCAATCCTCCATACTGAAAAAAAAAGACCAATTAAATAGAGGAACTAGCATTTATTGAGCAACTGTTCTATGTTCGCCACGTGCTAGATGTTTTGGATTATGTTGTTGTATTTCATTTAGTCAGCCATACAACATCTTTTGAGTACAACGTGTGGGATATTGTGCTTGGTCTCAGGGTTATATCAGCTATAAACAAATCTCTTGCTGGGCCAGGGATTGCGCACCCTCCGGGCACTGTAGCTCCAGTAGGTGAGTAGGTGGGGCTTCCACAGAAGCAACAAGATGAACAATTAATGGAAGCCGAGAAACCATGCCGGCTTACAGCCAAATACACACAGGTTGCAGGTGACAGAAATGGATCCAAATCTTGATTATGACCCTGAAAAAATTCTTTAACCTCTCAGCCTCAGTTTCTCTGTCCCTAAAATGGAGACAATGATGGTACCTACTTCATAGGAATGAAGGATTCAATAAGATAATATGCAGCATAAGTTATAAAATATGTGAACTGAAACAGAAACCGTGTCTAGAAATTTCTTTTACATGAAGAATGGAAAAGCAAGGCAAAGGATATGCTGCACAGGGGTAGAAAAGGGCAGGGCGGTCTTGAGAACCCACACTGACAACCTCCGCGTGGAGGTGGAGCTGCGGCCTCTCTTACGGAACAGTCTCACCATCTCCCAGACCCGGACGATCGAGGAAACTCCCCAGCCCCTCGCTAACACCTCTGCTCTGGTCTCCACCTCTGCTACTGAGCATCTCATTGCAGAGCTCAGTTCCGCAGCCCACACCTCCAGCCAGAATCGCCTCCCGCTAGGAAATAACTGACGTCATCCTTCACCCGCAGCTCCTTCCTTGTCCTTTTTATTTTCTCTTTTCAAGGTCAGGGACTGAACACATGGCCGCCCAGGTAATTTTGATCATGTCCAGCCACGAGAATGACTATTAGCGTTATTTGGTGCTACTCAACACACTAAAAATAAAGTGCAATCAGTACGCATACATTTAAAACTTTTTGAAAACAAACAAGCATTAATAAGTTGTATCTTCTCCAACAAAAGCACACTATTTCAAACACTTCTGTGGGACAGAATTTCCTGATAAAATATGCTCTGGTGCTGGTTTGGGCTCAGGGGACATCATATGGAGGAGGACACTGTGACCTAGTTTTCAGAGAGGTGAGCATTTCAAAGCTATCCACACTGCTAGGCTCCTCTATGTGTGCAGGTGTCCTGACTCAGAAGCCCTGCTCAAGGGATCCTCCTGCCTCAGTCTCCTGAGTAACCACTGAGGGTGTGTAATTTTATTTTGTTTTTGTTTTTTTGTTTGTTTGTTTGTTTTTTTGTGGTACTGGGGATTGAACTCAGGTCCTTGCACTTGTGAGGCAGGCCGCCAAACCGCTGAGCTAAATCCCCGGCCCTGGGTGTGTAATTTTAAATTAGAATATATACATGATATAACAGTTCTTCATCAAGATACTATACATCTTCTAAATTCTCCAAAAGAGGAGGGTCTTGCTATGTAATTCAGGCTGGTGCTGGACTCACTAGTATCCCAGGCTGGCCTGAACTTGGAGGTAATCTTCCAGCCTCAGCCTCCTGAGTTCTGGGATTACAGGTGGGTGCCTGGCAAAATTCTCAAACTATAAGTTATATAACTTAAGCAAGCTTAGTAAATTTATCATAGATCTATAGAAATATTGGTGAGACAGCTTACTTTGTCTGCACTCATTTTACATTTAAGCTCGTTTCTCAAGGAGATCAATTTAGGGACACAAGCAGGGAACAGGAGGCCCTGTAGGGTCAAGGTCATTGGACGAAGGGCTGCCAGTCCTCTCTGTATGGTTCCGAATCTACTCTTCAACTTTATTCTGTCTTTGCACATATATCCTGCACTCAAAATGTAATGAACATGCAGGGTTACATAATTCTGGGGGTTTATTTTATTTTATTTTATTTTATTTTATTTTATTTTATTTTATTTTATTTTATTTTAGACAGGGTCTCACTATGTAGTTGCGACTGACCTGGAACTCACTATGTAGTCCAGGCTGGTCTCAAACTCATAGTGATCCTCCCGCCTCAGCCTCCCGAGTGCAGGGATTACAGGCGTGAGCCACCACGCTGGCACATAATTCTGCTCTTTTATTGTAAGGATTTTCCAGCAAAAGGAGCTAAACGAAAAACAATTCATCCTGTCGAACAGCCATCTAAATAATGAACTGAGCTACACAATCATCTTTTGGGACTTGGCCGTGACCACATGTCTTGGGCAGATTACTCATAGCAATATAGGCTCACCCTCCCCCAAATGTAAACTTGACTAATAATTCACTATCACAAAACAATGGAAATCAGAAGTCTTAAATTTTAATCTTACTAGTTATGTGACCTCAAGCAAATCACAAACCAAGACTCAGCTTCTAGTTCTTAAAAATGAAGATAACATTTGTCCATCGTATCTCACAATGGTGTTATTAGGATTATACATGACATGATATACACAAGAGTAATTTGAAAACAAAACTGAACTATAAAAATGTAAGGTCATATTATTAACAAATTCTATTGAACTGCCAAATATATTTGGATATGTTTTTCACCATACGCAAAACTAAGAAAATTCTAAATTATACAATTTAAAAAAAAATGCTTCAATGTTTTTACATAGTAAAGCTTCTATGTGTCTTTCTCACATATTCATGAAACTCCGACTGCCAATTCTGAGTCCAAAGCAGTTAGCGTAACTGTACATATCAGTACTATCCCAAGAGTGAATCTGGGGTTTGGTTACAGCTCAAGTCATTTCCCAAAGAACAGAAGTGGCCAAGAAACACAGGGGAAGCTTTCAACATCACTAGTCATTTGGGAATGGAACATCAAAACCACAGAGACAGCTTCCTGACACTAGGAAAGCTAAAATAAAAAAGGCAGACAATAACAAGTGTTAGTGAGGAACTGGAGAAACTAGAGCCCTCCTGCTCTGCTTGGGTATGTACAATGGCACACTCAGAAGAACAGCTGGCAGTTTCTCAAAAAGTTAAAGGTAGAATTATCACTTTCACTCCCAGGCAAATATCCAAGAGAAACAAAACATATAGGCACACAAAAACCAGTACACATATGTTCACAGAAGCATTATTTATAACAGGCAAAAAGTAGAAATAACCCAAAAACGATCATTATTTTAAATGATGAATCCTGATGAAGGGATAAGCACAATATGGTATATCCAGAAAATGAAATATTATACAGCTGTTAAAAGAAATGAGATACTGATGTAAGCTACATCATGGATAAGCCTTGAAAGCTTTATGCTAAATTAAACCAGACCTGAAAACTCGCATTTTATTATTCTGTCTATATGAACAGAATTATGTTAAATAAAAGGCCCAAAATAGGCAAACCCATGGAGACAGAAAGTAGATTGGTAGTTCCCGGGG